TATATATATATATATATATATATATATATATATATATATATATATATATATATATATATGCATATATATACATAAACTTATTATTGATTGATTCATGGATTTCGAAGAATGCCTGAAAGTTGCCCAAACTTCTTGTACTATATCTTCTTCATTCTTTAGCTTGCAGTTCAGTATTGGAAACCAAAAAAATTCGAAGATTAAAAAGAAGAAAATTTTACCTTCTGATCATTTTCATCTAGCAATAAGAAATGCTTCGCAACCGAATTCGCGATTCCAGAAAGCACGAAATTATTGGCAGTGTTTGGGCTAATACGAACCAAAAAATCACCTTCATGTCGTAGCATAGATTCAGCAGTAGCTCGTTCCATTTCACCATGATACCAAGGTTGTCTGTCAAGACCCACGGTAGCTGGCAAATTACATACGTTCATAGAAGTTTGGTGATCTGAAAAAGAGGAAAGAAAATATCATATTGCGTTGGGTATACCGATGAATTTGCATTGCCAGAAAATACGTGAATGCATTAGCTGGTAACAGATATACGCAGCACTTATACCGTTTGCATTCTTGCAGCAACTGCAACATCGGTCACTATTCCATCTATTAGGCAGAAAAACCTTCAAACAAATTCCTGATGAAGAAATGAAAAATTCCTAAATTAAAATAGTTCAAACTCTAGGAATTGAACTTCAAACTTGAATAATTCAATTAACCAGCACCGGAAATAAGTAATTTGAACCAAATATGGAACTTTTACCATGATTCGTACTTGACTCTGGGGATCCCGCTATTGTCGTGCTTAACTTACGGCCATGTCCTAGAAAGACTACAATAAATTGCAAAAATAGATAAAATACTGAAAAGTCCATAGAAACGAGTGTTTTTATAGGAAACTTCCACGTGTCAACCGGAAAAGCGGAGAAAACTATTTGGACGATGAAATTGCGCTTGTCACCATCTTATTACCGATACTTCATGCAAGTCGATTGGGTCTTATGTGAACTTCATGCAGCCTTCACATCAAATTTCAGATAAAAGAAGAGTACCAGCCCGAACTTTTTTAACCTTTGCTATTTAGCCGGAATATCTGAAGGATAGTTTCCATAATAAAATCAACATTCTTATCAGGTTCCATAAAAACCAAGCATCGTCTTCCAAGTTCTTGAACGTGTGACACAAAACAAAATACTCCTTTGGTATATTCCTGTAGTGAGAGAAAAAAAGAGATAGGGAAAAAGGCAGTATATAATTCTGGAGGTGAAAATTTATCAAATGGGAAATTATCGATAACTATTATATACCTATATTTTAAAAAGAATTTTCCAGTGTAGATTCCTTGGATTATTTGGAATAATTCAACCTTAGAGAGCTCATCTATGAGAGTTATGATTTTCCCATGCCTCTTTTCTATGAAGAATCCTCTACTATTAAATTTTCAAAGTACTATCAATTATCGCAATATTAAAAATAAATACTAACAATAATACATGTAAACTTACAATTAGCAATAATTTCAAAAAGCAGAATTTTTCAATGCCTCGAAAAGTTTATCATGGTAAGGTTTAGTAATTTTAGTAAAAATCCACGACGAGGTTTAATAACTCGGAAATAACATTTCGGATTTTTTTTTTTTACAAATAAATAATGGTAACTGACAATGCTCAAGTTAAATCAATTTAAAAACCGATAAAAACAGACCTCTGTACCGGATGAAGCATATGAAATAACATGTATGGGATGCCGTTCCAAAATCCGTATACCCTCTTTATCCAGAATAATAAAAGCATGCAATGCCACATTTAGTTCTACATCTTTGTCTTCAACCTTTACTTCTCCTAATTTCTGCAATTAATTTTTTGATTTTCGTCTAGTAAAAAAATCATTTCCAACTCAGTGTGCCAATTCCTTCCATATAAGTGAAGTCAACTACTTTTCACTTGAATAACTGAATTAAAATCGTTAATTAACCATCCAACCAATCCATTCCCTCCACATTTCTAATTAGTCAATCCCACAAAGTTTACTAACTTCTACAATTATCTGAGCTTATAAATTCAATGAAAACGAAAACAGAATATGCCTTATTTAATTCCAAATTATAACTCTGATAAGGAAAATGATCATCTAGCAAAAAACAGATGTAGTACTACATCCTAACAGATCCGGTGCAACAGTATTGGAAAATACTTATCAGAGTTGTAATTTAGCTTTTAGATTGTCTTTAATAAATTGCAACTTACTTCAAGGAGTAGTTCATCAGGCATCGAATTTTCTTTACATATACCAAGCTGATGGCAAATGCGATACATACAATGCCTAGAAGATATGAATTATTGAAAACCAAACCTTATATGGCACCATTTCCATGAAATCATTTGAAGGAACCATTACAAACCAAATAATTGATGCAACTCAAAAAAGCTTATTACCATACCTAAGAACTATTGCAATATCTGAAACCACTTTGGAAATCTACTTCTTTTCGTAATAATGAACGATACCTTGTCCAGTTATCCCTTTCCTCAGGTCTTTTTTTCGTTAACGATTCGAAAACCTGCACCGACCCAAGATACTGAAATAATATCTTTTACAGAATTTTTTCAAAAATACATATATATATATATATACATATAGTCTTGCTGAAATACGTACATGAAATTATTTTTGAATTATAGACAGCACGAAATAAATGCCGTAAAATTTAAATAAATTTTTAAGTGGAAAATACCTTTAAATAAAAAGTTTGTCCAGTTTTCAGTTCTTTCAACAGCTCCTCATCACCTTGAGATATTACATCTCCTTCTTCTGACATCTTCAAGATTCTTGGAACTATTGTTCAATCAGATCATTTCTTAAAGAAATTACTCCAAATATGCAAACATTTTTCAATTTATGATAATGATGTTTGGGTGTGCCACTTAGATATTTCTATCGAAGAAGTCCACATACATGAGGACCATACATTATCACTAGGATACAGATAGTGGGAAGCAATAACTGTACTATGTCCATAACTGGTACTGGAAATCGAATAGAAGAAACAGAACAAACGAAGAGTTAGCTTATGTCAAACTTACTTTACATAACTTTTTCTTCACTACTAACCCTTCGATAGGTTCTTCACTAAATTGATCCTCGGTAGATACAAATTAGCTGATTTAGAAAAAAAGGAAGTTTCAGGTACATGCGCGTACGTAAACACCTATGTAAACATTTCCCTACACGTACAAACTATTCGTGCGTAAATCTGCGCATTACACACATTTTCGCCCCATTCAAGAAAAAAAAAGTAAATAAATGGAAATGAGCAAATACACATTGAATGCAAGTGACACACACGTATAATTTTCTTCATCTTTATATAATAATTTAATCAACCAAAGAGTCTGAAGGAAAATTATCGGAAAAAGG